GCCTAAGCGGGGAGCCGCCATTTTTAAAACCCCGCTGGTTCGAACCCCATGCAGCGCAGCTACACAGGGCTCGAACTAGGTAGTTCAGACTAGGATTCCTATTCCGAACTACCGGTACACCTCGTTCGGAATAGGAATCCTAGTCCGAACTACCTAGTTCGAGCCCCGTGTAGCCGCGCTGCACGGGGTTCGAACCAGCGGGGTTTTAAAAATGGCGGTTCCCCGCTTATGCAAATGAAGCCCGGGAAATTCAAATCCCGGGCTTCATTTGCAAGTGCGGTATGCCTACGTTACCCCGCTAGTTCGAACTAGCGGGGTAGTGTAGACATACCCCCCGTTACATAGACTGACTGTGTGTTGTATGGTGAAGTACTTCCTTATATTTTGTTTTAAACCTGCTGCCTGCTAAATTTATTGGGTAACCCCGTTCTTGTGTTATACCAAGGGGTAAATAACACTTCCTAATTCACTTTCCCCCCACCAGTCATGATTTTATACACCTCGATGATATCCCCATTCAGTCATCTCTTTGCTAAGCTGAACCCAGTTTCTTTAATCTCTCCTTGTATGGAAGCTGTTCCATACCCCTAATCACTTTCATTATAATTCTCCAATTCTAATATCTGTTTTATTTTTTTAGCTGGGATCACTAGAACTGGATTCAAGGTGTGCATGTTCTTTGGATTTATATAGTAGTATTATAATATTTTCTGTTTTTTATCTGGAAGCTGTTTATCTTAGGAAAGTGGGCCAAAAATTCTAATCACTTAAATCCATATTCATATTTAAAACCTAAATAACGAAAGCTTAATTTTCAAAAGTGCTGAGCATGCATTGCTTCCATTGACTTTAATTGAAGCTATTGGTACTCAGCACTTTTGAAAGTTACTGAGGTCCATATGTCCAAAGGGATTTAGGTGCCTAAGTCCCATTTATATTGGTGCCTAAATCTCATTGATTTCAGTGGGAGGATCATCTGGGCCTAGAAGAACATAAGAACATAAGAACAGCCATACTTGGTCAGACCAAAGGTCCATCTAATCCACTGTTTCTTAAAAGTTTTTAAGACCGAGGAACACCAAACAGTAATTTTTTTTTATGGGAACACCAAGGATTTTTTGTTAAGCAAAAGAAAAAAAAGTCACCTGCCCCTTTAAGGGTGGCCATTTTGAATTCTGTTGCTCTCCATGGCACACCTCCAACTGCCTCGCGGCACACCTGTGTGCTGAGGAACACAGTTTAAGAAACACTGATCTAGCCCAGTATCCTGTCTGCCAACATTGGCCAATACCAGATGCCCCAGAGGGAAGGGTCACAACAGGCAATCATCACGTGATCCCTCCCCTGTCACCCACCTCCAGAGAAACAAAGGCTAAGACCATTGATGGACCTGGCTAATAGCCATTGATAGACCTAACTGCTATGAATCTATCTAGCTGGTTTTTGAACCCTGTTAAAGTTCTAGCCTTCACCACATCCTCTGACAAGGAGTTGCACAGATTGACTGTGCACTGAATGAAGACAGACTTCCTTTTGTTTGTTTAAAACTTGCTGCCTATTAATTTAATTTGGTGACCCCTAGTTTTTTTATTGTGGGAATAAGTAAATAACTTTTCCTTATTCACTTTTTCCATATCAGTCATGATTTTATAGACCTCTGTCATATCCCCCCGGAATCTCCTCTTTTCTAAGATGAAAAGTCCAAGTCTTTTTAATCTCTCTTCATATGGGACCCATTCCAAACCCCTAATAATTTTTGTTGTCCTTTTCTGATCCTTTTCCAATGCCAATATATCCTTTTTGAGATGAGGCGACCACATCTGTACACAGTATTCAAGATGTGGGTGTATCATGGTTTCTATAGAAGCAATAAGATATTTTCTGTCTTATTCTCTATCTCTTTTTTAATGATTCCTAACATTCTATTTGCTTTTATGACTGACGTTGCACGCCGAGTGGATGTTTTCAGAGAGCTATCCATAGTGACTCCAAGAGCTTTTTCTTAAGTAGTTGTAGCCAAATTAGTCCCCATCATATTGTATATATAGTTAGGATTATTTTTTCCAGTTTGCATTACTTTACATTTATCTACATTAAATTTCATTTGCCATTTTGTTGCCCAGTCACTTAGTTTGGTGAGATCTTTTTTAAGCTCTTCACAGTCTGGTTTGGTTAACTATCTTAAGCAATTTGGTATCATCTGCACATTTTGCCACCCCACTGTTTACCCCTTTTTTCTAGATCATTTATAAATAAGTTGAATAAGATGGGACCCAAGACAGACCCTTTGGGGACACCACTAGCTACCTTTCTCCACTCGGAAAACTTACCATTTATTCCTATCCTTTGTTTCCTGTCTTTTAACCAGTTATCAAGCCACGAAAGGATCTTTTCTCTTATCTCATGACAACTTACTTTACTTAAGAGGCTTTGGTGAGGGATCTTGTCAAAGGCTTTCTGGAAATCTAAATATACTATATCCACTGGATCGCCTTTGGCCACATGTGTTGCCAAGAGGCAATGGTCCTTTCCGTAAAGGATTCGGAGGCAATAAGCACACAAATTGGGTGAAGGCTTAAAGACTTTATTAAATGTCAGAATAAAATACAATGCTTACATCCCTTCTGCTGCTGGGAACCCCCTGAAGGAGGACAGCGGACAGACCCCCAATGGCTGGTACGTAGCACCTTCTGCGGCTTTGGTCTATGCCGAGGTTCCAATATTAGAAATTTCCCTGGCCTTTATATATTATTGGATTTACATTACTCACACCTGCTGCTTTGAGAACCTGACAAGATTGTTGATACATTGCATATTTTCCCAGGCCAAATAATCAGCTTGGCCGGTGGCAAACCTTCAACATAGATAACTATCCCAAACACTCCTGTACTCCCGTACCAGGTGGATAGCCTTGGGACCCGGTCCAGAACTAGTTGAAAGTAAACAGTATATTCCTAAACTGAACCATCTTGAACAAACAGCTAACTCTTTGAGAATAATAAGAAAATAATGAGAAACAAAAAGCACAAGTGGCTGTCTAGGGCATCTAGGCCTGAAAGGAGATGTAGACATAAAAGGAACAATTGCTGTACACCACTTAATCGCCTCGAAATCACAATAGTCTCCGCATTTCCACTATAGCACATGTTTGTTGACACCCTCAAAGAACTCTAGCAGATTAGTAAGGCATGATTTCCCTTTACAGAAACCATGTTGACTTTCCCCCAACAAATTTATATTCATCCATGTGTCTGACAATTTTATTCTTTACTATAATTTCAGCTAATTTGCCCGGTACTGACGGTAGACTTACTGGTCTGTAATTGCCAGGATCACCTCTAGAGTCCTTTTTAGATATTGGCATCACATCAGCTATCTTCCAATCATTAGGTACAGAAGCTGATTTAAAAGATAGGTTAAAAACCACCGTTAATAGTTCCACAATTTCCCATATGAGTTTTCAGAACTCTTGGGTGAATGCCATCCGGTCCTGGTGACTTGTTACTGTTAAGTTTATCAATTTGTTCCAAAACTTCCTCTAATGACACCTCAGTCTGGGACAATTCCTCAGGTTTGTCTAAAAATCTGAGCCTAAAAAGAATGGCTCAGGTTTAGAAATCTCCCCAATATCCTCAGCCATGAAGACTGAAGCAAAGAATTCATTTAGCTTCTCCGCTATGACTTTATCATCCTTGAGTACTCCTTTAGCATCTCGATCATCCAAGGGCCCCACTGATTATTTAGCCAGCTTTCTGCTTCTGATGTACTTTAAAACATTTTACTATTACTTTTTGAGTTTTTGGCTAGCTGTTCTTAACTCCTTTTGGCTTTTCTTACTGGCTGTCACTACACTGGCCAGTTTTTCCGGAAAATCAGCCGCTTTTCCGGAAAAACTTGCCAGCTGTCTACACTGGCTGCTTGAATTTCTGCAAAAGCACTGACTTCCTACTGTAAGAAATCAGTGCTTCTTGTGGAAATACTACTCTGCTCTCATTCAGGCAAAAGCCCTTTTGCATAAAGCTTTTGCGCAAAAGGGCCAGTGTAGACAGCTCAGATTTGTTTTCCGCAAAAAAGCCTTGATCGCGAAAATGGCGATCGGGGCTTTTTTGAGGAAAAGCACGTCTAGATTGGCACGGACGCTTTTCCGCAAAAAGTGCTTTTGCTGAAAAGTGTCCGTGCCAATCTAGACGCTCTGTTCCGAAAATGCTTTTAATGGAAAACTTTTCTGTTAAAAGCATTTCCGGAAAATCATGCCAATCTAGATGCAGCCACTATGTTTTTACACTTAATTTGACAAAGTATATGGTCCTTTCTATTTTCCTCACTAGGATTTGACTTCCACTTTCCACTAGGAGCTTCCATTAAAGTCAAAGGAAATTGTGGATGTTCAACATTTTTGAAAATCAGGTCCCTTCTAGATAAAAGCCTGAATAAGGATTGAAGCAAGTAAGCAACTATATGAATTCTGGTTTAAAAAATCCTAGCCATGAACCACATTTACGATGTACACAACTCTTACAAAGTCTATTCTAGTCTGTTCTTATACCACTCTCAACACTATGGTATCTGAGCACCTGCCAGAGGTTCATTAAGAGATATGGCTAGTATCTGTCATGTATGGTTTGCACTCTTTCTCTCTCTCTCTCTCTCTCTCTCTCTCTCTCTCTCATACTCTTCCTAAGGGATAAATTGTGCGTGCAATGGCTTTTATTATTGTAGTTGTTAAGTGATAGATGTATGTTGCTAATAGCAAAGTCAAGGTCAGAGAAATGTACCTTGCATTTGGTACAGAAAGTGGTGAGGTTTGTGGTGATACTTCATTCCAGAGGAAGTTTGTTCCACAGTCTTGAACCAGTACTCAAGCTCCTTTTCCTCTTCTTTTATTAGCTACATACTTGCTTCATAGAGGCAATGGTGCTTTCCCCAAGACTGAAATACTTCATCTGGTGTTATTATGCTTATTGATAGTAACATCTTTATTTGTATAAAACGAACAAGATCTTGGCTCTTCTATGGCCAATATAAGATTTTCACCAAAATTAGACAATTAAATATGATTTTATTAACAAAGGAAGGTAACAGTTATGATCATAACATTAAATTAATTAAAAAATTAAGACATCTTAACAGCAATCACAGAGAAACTAGAGGGAAATACTGGGATACATCACTGCATTCTTTGGCAATATGTTCTAAATGTCTTGAAACCATAGCAGGGTGGAAGGCAGGTATTTAAATGCATTTATTTGCACAATAATACCAGGCATACAAATACTTTTTGCAATGGGCTCTTCATGTTAATTTCAGTACCAAGAACAGTTACTACAACCTCAAGAATATCACCAGGCAGTGTTCTTTCCAAGAGACATGTGAGGTAAGAATTGGATCAGCATGTGGTTGTGGGGATCCAGATCTTCATGTTCCTGCAGACCTCCTGGAAGACTTCCCCTTCTTTTCCCTTGGATGTTGCTAGGCAGGCCCTTTGAGGGCTGGTTTAATAAAGAATTAGAAAAAGGTTAGGGATGCTAGTTAGAATCCTGGGAAATCTTTATTTAGATAAAGAGAAACCTGTTGGTGCAATTTCTAGGACATACACAGAAATGCATATTTATTTCACTGCCTTCACCAAAAAAGAATAATATATTTTTGCTATGGCTTCCTTATCATCTAGATGGTCTTTGCATGCATCATGATTCATTGTACACTGGTGCTTTTTTACTATCTATGGTGTATGTCTATCTATACTTCAGCTTAATTGTTGAATGGATTTGTGGGACTATATATTTTATCTCCTGTAGATGTAGCTCAAAATTTAGTAGTAACAACATTTATAAATATTAAAAGAAATATATTAAACATTTATAAATAGTATTAGTTTATATTAATCACTTGAATTGTATTTTTAATGCTGAGCTAAACCTATCACTACTTATCAACTGTTTAAAAAATGGCTCAAAATGTTAGAAGTAGTCTCACCAGATATGACACAATCTGACTGAGTTTCCCTTCCTCATCTGAGACAGCTCCCCTCCCTCACCTACCCTCATCAAGAGCCAGGGCCAATCTACATAGACACTGACTAGAAAGACTCGCAGTGTCTTCAGATCAGCCTTACAAAGGCTTAGTTGCTGACTATAAAAGTTTGCTGGTCAAAAAATTACACATAAGGGGTCAAGTGCAGAAAGCCCCACTAATCCTTATTGTATCCCATTAATGTGAGTCATTCCGAGTAAGTCATTATTATCTCTTATCAGTCATGAGTCACAGTTTCTGAAAAACATAGAACTAGGAGTCAAGAGATCAAGGAACCATTCTTGGCTCTGGCACTCACTTCCTGCATGATCTCTGACAGTTCTCTTAGCCTTTCTGTGTCTTCATTTTTCCCATGAATATCACAGAACAATGGTCTCTTCACAGAGGCTTTGAAAATTCTCTACTGATTTGAAAGTGCTCAAAGACCTTCTACTGAGTACAGAGAGCAAAGTAGTTAATAATTAGCAATAATAAACATGGTTTGAATCTACTGTACTGAATAGCACATAATTTCTCTTGATTTGGTTTGGTAAATATTGCGTGAAGAATCTGAATGAACACAGTGAGCTGCATCCCCATTTGTGCCCCATCAACACAGTGTTCAGAAAGCTGCAATGAAAATGTTTGACCTTACCTACCCCTGGTCCCGAGGCCAGTTCTGTGCCAGCTATGCCATAAATGTGATCAACAACAACCATAGAGCTAAATGCCCTACAAGTGACCCATGACAAGAAATAAATTCAAAATGTAATCAGTCAAATTCAATCACCAAACTTTTTTGTTTAACTGACAGATGGTTTGCATGACTTACAGTAAATGTGTTATTCTCTTCAATTTATAAGTTTAATTGGTTTATTTTAGGCCTGCTCACAGTGTCCTGTGAAAGCAGAAGCTGCTGTACAATCTACCTGAAGAACTGTAACACAGGAAAAGGTACATCAATGAATTGGTCAGAGCTATAAAATAGATGGCACCAATTCAGAAAGATGAACGAGTTTTGAATGCAATTGCATTTCGAAAGTTCTATCAGTACACGAAAGCAGTATGGTATTCCAAATCAGGACCAATACATTTTTAATAACAGAAGGGGAAATTACCTGCCCAGGGTCAGGCATGAGTAACTGGGGTGTGTAATGTACAGGGGCAGCATCTTCTCCAAGACGTGGAGAGGATCTGTTCTATGGAGGCTATACAAGTCCAAGCTTGAGACTTCCACTCAGTGGAAATGATGATACTTAAACGATTTTATACCCACACCACAGCTCCACTCACGTTTGCATTTGAGTGCAATAATTGGGCCCTGTCATTGTTGTATGTTACACTATTGCTTAAACACTCCAGTCAGGGATCACTGCCGTGTTATAATAGGTGTTGTACAAACATAGTAAAGAACAGTCCCTGACCCCAAAAAATAACAATCTATTCTAATCTTTAATTCATAGGTTGTATTTATAAGGATCCTATCACTGAGCTACCTTAAGACCTGCTAAACACTGAACATGGTCTTACAGGAACAAATACCTCAACATCTTTCTTCTTTTTCTTCCTTCCATCTGTTCTTTTGTTTCATAATTTAGTACTTTAAAAGAAGCTGAAAGGGGAAAAGAAAAGTCTGTTAGTTTTTATGAATATATTTTACTAGAAGATTTCCCTGGCGTTGCTTGGTTTTGCTGAATCAATTTTTGTTTTTCTTCATTTAAATCATTGCTCTGGGCTAGGGATGAGAGGATCAGTATGCAGGCTGCCCTAGGGAGAGAGGATTACTCCAGCCCTCTCTCACTGCAACAGCTCGGGGCCAGGTGACCACTGCAGCTCCAGCAAACACAGACCGGGGAGCGGTGCATGTCCCCCAAGCTGGGGCCAGTCCAGTTTCATCTGCTCCCTGTGTTCCCCAGCCAGAGGGGAATGCAGAAAAGTGTGCACTCTCTTCTCGCTCTGTGATGAAGGGGAACAGCCAACAGTGTTCTTGTATCAATCGGGAAGGGGGGAGCTTCATCCCCCCCACCCTCCCTAAAGGGCAACTGGAGGGTGGGAGGCTTTGGGCTAGGGCAGTCCCAGATGGGGGCCCTGCCTGGTGATTTCGTCTCTTTTCTATATGGTTTTGTGCATCTTTGTATGAATCATTGGGAGCGTCCCCCTCTTTCTTAAAGGAAGCTTAGGGAGTGGAAGGCTTGGGCACTCTGGAGTGGAGGGGGTGTGTGCCCCCAGCCAACCTCTTTCACATGCCTGATGATTCTGTCTCTTGTCTGTATGGGTTTTATGGAAGCAGTCCCATTCTGGGCACATCCCATTTTCTTTACCTTTCTTTAAGTTATAATAAGAGGAAGCTGCATACAGAATTTGGTGGTCCTAGATCTTACTGTTTAGGGGAAATTCTTGAGCAAACAGGAGACACACTCTGGGTATGTCTACACTACCCCCCTAGTTCGAACTAGGGGGGTAGTGTAGACATACCCTCACAGACAGACAAATTCTCTAAAATATATAGTAGGCTACAGGAGACTAATACATCTAGGACCTGATCTGAGACCTATTAAAATCAATGGGAACCTATCCCCTGGATTTTAGTGGACCTTGGAATAGGCCCATAATGAATTCAGGTATAATTTCTATGGAGTGAAGTATCTTTCTAAAATAATTAATAACGTTAACAAGGTGCCGACCATTAGATTTCATTGCTAACCATTTTAGAAGTAAGTTTGATGTTGAGATTACAGGTATCAGAAGAATGGCAGACACTGAAAGAAGAGAGGAATTATTTCATGTGGAATCCCGGGGATGAATTGAAGAAAGGGAAAATTTAGGCTATTGAGAAAATTGTCCTGATAATGAGATCTCTGAGGCTGAAGGAAGTCTCCCAGCCTGAGTACAGGGGGGAGGGGAGGGGGAGGAAGGAGGAGAGGTGAGGAAGGTGGCAGCTGCTCAACGGCCCCATGATTTAAAATGGCCTGGGGCTTCCAGCCGCTACCTTGAGAGCAACAATGGCCAGAGCCCCAGGCCCTTTAAATTGCCATTGGAGCCCATGTGGCACACACCCAGCAAGCTGAAGAGCTTACTGGGGGACTCTAGCCCCTCCCCATTCCTTCTGCCTGAGGCCTCCTTCCGGAAGCCCAGCTCAGCAAAGTCTGTTCTCAGCCCTTCTTGGGTTAGCTGGCTCATACTAGAGGGAGCCCAAGTTAGCATGATAAAAATAGCAATATGGATGCTCCAGCTTGGGCTGGAACTAGTGAAGCTCTCAAGCCTATCTGTCCCTCTATGTTTGAGATCCTGAACTCCAGCCCAAGCTGGATCATTCACATTGCTATTTTTACTATGCTGACTGGAGCCCCATTAGCACAAGTCTGATAATCTGCATTGGAAGACTCGCTGTGGTGTAAAATACACTGCCAGGGGAAGAGATGGAATCCCTCTATATTGGGGCATTTGAACATAGCCATGGAAAAGCACTAGAAACCATACCACAGGGAACATTTCTACATTGGCATGGGGATTTGGCAAGGTGACTTAAAAAGATCTTTCCAATCCATAAAGTCCACTGCTTGATCTTCCCTGAAAGAATCCATGCTTGATACTGCATTTCCATTTATGTGCATATTTGATCATGATGGATAAAAAAGGGCATTCATAAGGATTTAAAAAAGTCAAGCTTGTTTTCTGTATGTATAGCAGATGGAAATAAGCCGATAAACATATACAACCTGCAAACCCTTACAATGTGTTTATTTGTGTCTTCATTCAAATTGTTTCTTGTTACACAATGGTTTTGTACACAGTGGAGTACTTAACCTAATTTATATTGATCTCAATTGCTCTCATTTGTGCATACTTAATTCAGAGAGATAATCAAATTGATTTCTGAGGCCTCCTTTTTAAGAGATTGTACTAATACAGATATACAAGAGGTGCCCTAACTAAATTATATTAAAAGAAAAACATTTTAAATCTTTGAAAACTGTTTTGATGGTCATTTCATTGTGTTTAGTATTACTAACATAATTACATTTCCTCCACATTGAGTTCTGTCTGAAATCAAATTGAAAAACATTTTTGAGCTCCATGAGGCAGATAACTTGGTTTAGCTAAATTTGTACTGCACATATATAAAACAACGTATTAGAGATCTATATGCATTGCTTACTCTTGCAAAAGATATGGAGTAATGTCTTACATTCAAATTAGAAGGACTTCTGTTTTTTTCATAGTAGGTTTGGCTCCTTTACCATTTAGCAGTTATTTGATGTGTTCATTTCACAGTTCAAAAAAATTGTGCTTCTTTGTCATTATTATTCTAGAACTAAAAATCAGCAAAAGTATCTATGCACTGAGAAAGGAAAGGATTTGGTTAGGAAGACTGAAGGGAGTAAAAATTAGGAGCATGTTGGTGGGATGAAATTAAGTATGAATTTAAATATGAAATTAAACAGTCATAAATTACCAGGATCAGATGGTGTTCAACCAGGAGTTCTGAAGGAACTTACAATTGCAGAACTACTAACTGTGGTGTGTAACCTATCATTTAAATCAACTTCCATATCAGCTGACTGGAGGATAGCTAATGTGATGCCAATATTTTTAAAAGGCTATAGAGGTAACCCTGACAATTAGGATGTGTCTACACAGCAAAATTATTTCGGAATTACGGCTGTTATTCTGGAATAACTGTGAGCATCTACACAGCAATTCCATTATTTTGAAATAATTTTGAAATAATGGGAGGCTTATTCCGACTTCTGTAAACCTCATTCTAAGAGGAATAATGCCTATTCCAAAAATAGCTATTTCAAAATAAGGCATGTGTAGACGCTGCACTTCTGCTATTTCGAAATAGCCCCTCACCAGAGCCATTCTAAGTTATTCCTCCCCAGTGCCTCCTGGGGCTGTAAATCGAGATAGCACGTCTATATTAGGGAAGCCTGCCTTGGACTAATTTTGAGGCTTTCCTGCAGTGTAGATATGCTATTTTGATATAAGCTATTTGGGAATAACTAGTGCTTTTTTTGTGATGGTACGCACTGGTACGGCATACCGTCACCTTTTCTTGGGAGCACTTGCTGCTTCCCCCCAGCACAGGCCCCTGCTGGCTCTGGGAGCACTCGTGCCATGCTGGACATAAGTCTGCTCTGGACATGTGGCAATTAAAGGGGCCATGACCGCATTTCGGCTTTCGGCCTCGACCTCCCAGGGCCCCCTGGTTACTCCCCAGTGCTTTTTTTCGCGTGATAATTTTCCCTGGCTTTTTTTTTTTCCTCGACAAATTTTTTGAAATCGTAGTGCCGGGACTTTTTTTTTTTTTAACAAAAAAAGCACTGGGAATAACTATTCTGGAATAACTTATTCCAAAATAACTGAACAGTGTAGATGTACCCTCACAGGCCGGTAAGCTTAACTACAATACCAGGCAAATTGGTTGTAACTATAGTAAAGAACAAAATGATCAGACACATACATGAGTCAACATGGTTTTGGAAAAGGGAAATCATTCCTTAACACTCTATTAGGCTTCTTTGAGCAGAGGTCAACAAGCATGGGGACAAGGGAGATGCAGTGAATATAGTGTACTTAGATTTCCAGAAAGCCTTTCACATGGTCCTCCACCAAAGGTTCTTAAGGAAATTAAGTTGTCATAGGCTAAGAGGGAAGGTCCTCTCATGGACTGATAATTAGTTAAAAGATCAGAAACAAAGGTAGGTCAGTTTTCAGAATAGAGAAAGGTGAGCAGTGGTATCCCCAGAGGGCTGTATTAGGACCAGTGCTGTTCACCATATACAAATATAATCTAGAAAAACAGGTAAACCGTGACATGGAAAAAATTTCAGGTAGTACAAAACTCTTCAACCTAATTAAGTTCAAAGCAGACTGTGAAGAGTTACAAACTGATGTTACAAAGCTGGCAGACTGGGAAACAAAATGGCAGATGAAATTCAGTATTGATAAATGCAAAGTAATGCACATTAGAAAACATAATCCCAAATGTACATATAAAATGATGGGGACTAAATTAGCTGTTACTGCTCAAGACAGGGATCTTGGAGTCATCGTGGATAGTTCTCTGAAAATATCCATTTAATGTGTAGTGGCAATCAAAAAAACAAACAATGATAGGAATCATTAGGAAAGGGATAGATAATAAGACAAAAAATATGATATTGCCGCTATATAACGTATGGTATGCCCACATCTTGAATACTGCATGCAGATATTGTCACCACATTTCAGAAAAACATATTAGAATACATGGATGGTTGGTGAAGGCAGGGCTGGGGGAGGCAAGCCCCAGCCCCACCTCCAGCCCTGCCCCTTCTGCTAGGGCCCACTCAGGAGGCAGGGTGGCGTGCTGCACATGTGCTCTACCTTCCAACCACGGGGAGGGAAAGGGAGTGGGCGTGCACTCGCTGCAGCCTCACCAGCCCCGGAGGAAGGTGCACCATGCCGCGTGGCCCGGCCACACCCAGCCCAACTTCAGGGGAGAAAGGAAGCAAGACGTGCTGTACCACGCAGCATGGCTCCAGCCCCCCCCCAGCTTTGGAGCACCAGGATAGGGAGGAGGGCACGCCACACCATACAGCCCGGCCCGGCCCAGCCTCTTCAGCC